CTTATGCTCAGTATTCCTGTAATGTTTAATTAAGTAAGTTTATTAATCGTTAAACATTTTTTTTTACATATTATGTACTTTAGTTTTCTTGATTATTTTTATCAAAATTAGTCGGCCAATCTTTAGGCGATACATATATATTTTTTGTTGATTTTTTACGGTCTATTGTGCAGCATCTAATCTAAATTATTTTTAAATTGAAAAAATATGATTATTTACAAGTAAGTCAATATAGTATTTTATTTTTTGAGCAAGAAAACATACTTTAAGATTATGATAGTTTTAAACTAAAGTATTTTGTTTAATAATTCATTATATAAATTGAAGTTATAATTTTCATATTTAGCATATTATTTTCATAATTTTAATTTGTATATCATAATAATTATGTATTTAAAAATAATTAGCCAAAATATAGAATATTAAAATTACTACTTCAATTAAATGTGTTAATTATTTATAGACGCTTAAGTTAATAGTTAAACAAATTACTTCAAGTTCATTTTGTTAAAGTAGTCTATAATCTTAAAAAATTGTTTTATGCTTTTAAAAAAATGTTATTAAAAAATATACCTCTCCATTTTTAGTCCAATGAGCATATCTTGCTTTGGCCCTTCTTATAATTACCCTGTCTTCCTCATCTTTAGGTGCATATATTGCCACTAATGTTATAAAGTTCGAGTGTTGTGGGCACCACCACTCTGTGCAAATTATCTGAATAAATGAAATGAAAATGAGCATTGAGTATGTAAACTTATTTTTTTTTTAAACAAATAAAATTATAGTATACTTTTTATACATAAACAACAAAAAGTTATTTATAATAATTTTATATTATAAGTATTATTTGAGATATGTTTTAAAGGTAAAACACTTGTTTTTTAAGAAATTATTAAATATTTGGTTTAAAAACTACACTTATCTGTAATTGAATAATTTTTTACTTTGTGTAAAATACTAAACTTGAATTTTCTTAAATAAAAACTCCTATTTTTAATTCAATAATTTATTGGAAAAAACAAACAATTTTGATTCTATAATTTTTTTTTATCCGTGTTCATGTGTTATAGCTTTGTTGAATGATGAAATATTCAATGATTTTAGATCAATTATTAATATAATATTTATTATATTAAATATATAATATATAAAGAATTTTTAACCTCTGGCAGTATGAAAAAAGTTTTATTCAGTTACAGATAAAATTAGTGCTTTATGCAAAAAATTTTTCTATAATATTTTAAAACATTTTAATTATAAGCGCAAATACCAAGGTGCCAAGAAGTGTTTTACGACGCTTAAATTAACCCCTTCAGAAAGTTGAGCAAGACAATATTTTTTATTGGGGTTATTATATGATTATTTGGAGTAAAATTATTCTCTTTTGTAATGATGAAATTATTGATAATAATTATATTTGTATGTTATAATATTAATTAAAATACTTTTTAAGAGAAGTTAAAGGGGAGAAAACAAAGTCCTCTCTTTTAGAAGTCTAAAATTTTAGCACCTCCAAGTTTGTGACTGAATGTGAGACTATGTTTTTAATATTTTCTGAAAAAATGAGTGTCTAACCCTAAATTAATACTGGTATCTCAGATTTAATTAAAAACACATTGTTGTGAACTGGCTTTTTGCTGCATAATTGTAATTATGTAATTTAATAGTATATATATATAATAATCATGGGAACGGAAGCCNTTGTGACTGAATGTGAGACTATGTTTTTAATATTTTCTGAAAAAATGAGTGTCTAACCCTAAATTAATTACTGGTATCTCAGATTTAATTAAAAACACATATTATTTTTAATTTTTTTAACATTAAGGTTTCTAATTTTTTTATAGTTGTTGAATTCTTGGACAACATCAGAAACATATTTTTTTGTTATTTTTAATTTGTATAAAAAAAANTCAGAAACATATTTTTTTGTTATTTTTAATTTGTATAAAAAAAAAGGTAATGTAGCTATAATATATTATTTGTAAAGCAATAAAAATGTTACTTTTTTGTTTTCTTGAGGCTTATCATTAATATTTTTAATATTGAGCTTTTTAAAGTTGTCGATTACTTGTTCTTCTATTTTTTTAACAACTGTATTTTCTAAATGTCTTAATTTTTCCGAAACTGTTCTATTAATTAACAGTATGGAGTCTGAAATTGTTGGTTCGGAACCAGCTATTTTTAAGTTTTCCTAAATTTTACGAAATATTTTTTGTAATCAAAAAATTTTATTTATAAAAGAAAAA